CGTATGTAAACCCTCGCCGTCATCTCGTTATAGCTTTTCTGTCGTGGTTTCTTATAGCGTTTATAGCCAAGAAGTTTATAGCCAACATTTGGTTACCTAAGTATAGAAACTCGAGAAAAATGCACAAATTCTTTTGGCCTGTTCCTCTGAATGACGAGTGTCTTCTGGAGCTGTTTGGAAACAGTCTCCGGAGCAATGCTCGGGAACTGACGCAGCTTTTTCAAGTTTTCAGAACACAATAGCTGTTCCTCAATATCTTCTCAAAAAGGCGAGAAATATGGAAAAAGGTTTCGTGACATTGGTGACGACCGCCGTCAGAGGCCTTCAGATTTTGCATGAACATTTTGATTTACGTCTGTCTCTTGTTTGACCCGACTACTTTGTTGGTGGTAATCAGAAGTGGGTTCCTCACGTAAACTGCAGTCGGAAGCGCCAGTGGCCCAGACGCGTAGATCCGAGGATTCCAGCGCCGATTCCAGCACTGCAACCTGGGAGGTAACTTTCAGAATTGTGAAGCTCCAAGCGATTCGTTCACTGACAGCTCCTACCAAAGAACTGCACTGCTATTGTTGAACCATAATATGGGCAAATGGATGGGTTCGCCGGCACTATGCTTTAAAACCATGGAAAAGTTTACTTTATCCAGGCAACGCTCGTCAACGAATTTGGAAGAAGGTTCAGCAAAAGTCTCCAAGCCCGTTATGGGACGTTCTGTCCCACCTGTTGCGTTCAGCAGGCCCGGCACTAACAGACACCATCTGCTTCCATTGCTGTCAAATCAACAAAAGAGGGAGAGCTCAATGATCCGAACCTACTCGAAGAGGACTTTTCAAGGTTTTTGCTTCAAAAGCTCAGTATTTCCAGACAAACGCCATCCACGAGTTACCTGCTAAAAGGCAATATGTTGGCGATTGAGATGGGGCATATATTTATAAATTGCCAAAGACTTTTCCGACAACCTAATACTTTTCTTTCTTTTGGCTATATAAACTCTTTCACAAAAACAATTGTCCATTAAGTTGCTGGTTTTGCTCGGCTCATTCGAAGGTGGTTTCAGAGATCGTTTCATAGCAACTGTCAGTTTCTCCGACCTCTGCCAGTGTCATGTTTGGAAAGATATAGTGATGATGATTTCCTACACTATGAAAATTTGAGCTCGCTCTTTCTTTTTGGTTTTCGGTGCTGGTATTCGATGGTTTTGATGGTGTTCGGTAGTTTCTTTTCTTTCCATTGTTGTTGTAATTGTGAATTATATATCTACTTTTATTACTTCCACTAATGCGATTCTCGATTCTGTTTTCAGTACTGTTGCGGTTAATTAGACGGATAACAGAGTCCACAGGAATGGCTGCTACAGTAATCCGCCAACAAATCGATGCCACGTGGCATTCGACATGCCTCTTTTGTCGTTTTTCTGCGCACTCCACGACGACAGTATGGACGATACGGAGCCCGTCCATTGTACGGAGCACCCACCTGAACTGTAGAAAGGTGAATGTGGCAGCGTGTCGAACTGGCCTGAGCTTGCGTCGCCGGCCATGTTGGAGTTGTTCAATCCAATTCGTTGAAAGGGCGCGGCCATGGGTTACGGTAACAGCCGTTCCGCGGCCTTTGTTTTATCTGTCTTGTTTGTGGTTGTAGCTGTTATGCTATGTGAGCTATTCTTGCTGCGACAGAATTCACAAATCAACATTTCTGGAACAGTAAAGCTTTGAAAAGACGATTTAATGAAGTTTACACAAAGCAAAAAAAACAGCCCATTTAAATTTTTCATGATAAAATGCAATCAACGTCCATGATAAAGATCTTCGATAAAGCACATCATATTTGTAACAGAGCATGGGTTGAAAAGCATTTCCATAAAATTGTAATCAGAAGCGCTAAGGTGAGACACGCATTCGGAAACAACCAGTATGACTGAATCGGGTCGTTAACTCAATAATCAAGCCAGTAAGGAATTCGAAGACAATTTAAAAACATCATCATTTGAAGTTTGCTTGAGCGCACAATTTAGAGACTGAGGATCATTAGGAAGGAAAATTGACCAAACACGCCAGGTACAAGACGATGCTGAAGTGAGCACATCACCACTGCAGTAGTAGAAAGTAAAATGAGGAAGTTAATAACCGTTGTAGGATCGAACAAATTAATATGAAGAACGATAAACTTGCGTTTCACATCACATGATACCGTGTCAGAATCCTTCAGATCAGATCAACATCGACTTTATTTGATGCTTGAAACAGAGTAGAATATCATATCCTGCAGCGTATGACCTCGATGAAGTGAAAGACAATTCCTATTTGGAATCCTCACCTCTATTTCTTACAGATGGTCAATTTTCAGCATGAGAAAGTAGCAATCAAATCCATCGAGGGTTTTTGCCAAAAAAAAACAATTACATTAAAATAACGCATACAAATTGTACTGACTAGGCAAATTGATCAGCACCTACCTAGCGCGACATCGAGAAGAGATTGGAAGCATGGAATAAACGAACTTTATGACAGTTTTCCAATTAATTAAACACATAGTAGAAGACGCAGACCGAGTTTGCGATTACTTCGTGCTCTTATATTGCCATGACATGTATGCAAAGCAAAACACAAGTGAATTCAAGAATGCTGATGAATGAAAGGAGACAAGTGGTTCTGCTTACTTACCCTTCTCAGTAGTAGGCCCCGCTATCAAATGAAGGAATCGTAAAAAAGATAGAAGAGCGAACAAAGAAGTTGTCGAATAAACTTCACAGAAGAACAGTTTTTTGACGTGAGAGCATGGACATAAAAAAGGAAAAAATATTGAAAATGCATGCTCTATATCATCAACTTGAATTTAGATCGGGTGAATACTTCGAATCATCCCTAACCTTTTCGTTCGAGTCCACAGGCACATCAATCGGGGTGTCGAATCTAGGTTCGATCAGCCATGTTCCCTTCGAGCGATCTTTTTTTAGGTGGGTGATTGTAATTCTTGGCTCTCCCATTGTTTGACACATTGGGCACCAAAGTTACATCCTTTGCAAACATATTTCACGATCGCAGCAGTCCCCTTTCCCACCAATTCCGTCTCGCTCAATCGATGTCCACATTGAGGACAAAATTGAAATAGTTGCATAAGTTGAAACCCCTTCACAAGGAAATATCGATCGAGTGTCTCAGGTTTCGTCGTCCGCAGTAAGGGTTTGAAAAAGGACGAACTTGTCGAAGAGCACTTCGACTCATCTTCAGATGTGTCAAGGGACCGCTCTGCCTCTTTTGCACTCTGAAAACATAAGGACCATAAGTGACTCTACCACTCCGAAAGTTCCCTTGTCAACAGACCACTTCTGAAGGGCAACTAGTCGATGCTAAATCTCCTTCCACTGCCTGCAATACCTTCAAATCACTTCCTTCACCATCCACTTCTCCAATGATGGGTGCTTTCGCTGCATCTTCAGCAACATCATGACTGACCACGTTCACCTAGACCGAGGTATTACTGACTGTTTACGCAATTGAAATCCTAATCCTACCTCTTCGGTCACTGGCCACATGGATGTTGAATAGTAGCGCGCCAAAGCGTCGTTAAGAAATTTGCTAACATCAAGGCCTGTGATATGGCACGCTACCCTGAATTCGCAGTCACTGACAATGTTCCAATATGTGAGAATAAGTCTTAGACAACCACAAGTCCTACTTGTGCCATGATATTTAGTATATCCAGCAGATCACTTGAAACGTCCGCGTTCGTTACAAATGCTGTGCGCCCTCCAGCGCTGGGATCTTCAAAACGTGATATTCTCTTCCCGTTCATCGCCATTTCAAGCCAACAGATATTGGGCCTGTTTAACAAAGAAATATGGATAGTACACCTACAGGAATTAAATGTTAGCTGTGTTCTACTTACCGCACGAATTACGTGAGTATGACAAACTTTTCGGTTGGGTTTTGTGATGGACTCCGCCAAAGGGCGTGCACTTTCACTGTCCTTCTGACCGGCCAATGAAAGTGACATCAATAGAATCATGTTCGAGGTCTTCGATCTGGACGTATGCCTTCCTTCTTCATCTCTCAACGCGTATCCACAGATCGAACAAGTCTTCATTTTCAACTGAGCCCTAAAAAACTGTGTACAGTGGTATTTGTAACATGACTTTCACCAAACTTTTGTATCAACAGATACTGCACATTTATACTTGCAATACCTATTTAGCAAAAAAGCCACCGCCTTATAATGATACTGACAAACGATTGGCGGTTGACCCTGCTGATGGCGGCGTTCAGTTGGACTGTCGACGCGTAAGGCTGCTTTCATAGTCTGCGATCCGTGCCGTCCGTGCCGTCCGCGCCGTCCGTGCGGACCGCTCGGACAGGGTGAAAAACGTCAACACGCGCTCTGGCGCACAATTGCGTGCTTAGCACGCATAGTCGGTCGGACGACAGCAACGACTGCAAGTGTCGCACAGTATTGGGTGCGTATCGATCTGCGGCACTTGCAGTCGTTGCTGTCGTCCGACTGCTGCTGTCGGACGACAGCAACGACTGCAAGATCAATACGCAGCTGCGCACTATTCCACACTACAGTGGGACTTTCGAAATACGATCACGCGCAGTCACGTGTTGTCTGGGTTTGCATTGGGTGACCGCGTCGCCTTCCATTTGCGACCGCGGTTTATGCGACACCTGCAGTTCGTTGCTGTCGTCCGACCGACTATGCGTCCGGCCTTTAGCGCGCAGTCGGCGCCTCCCTTCGACCGATTAGTGGATTTACAAAGTCCGGTGAGTGACCGCAACCGTAACACGTGACTGGTTGGCGCGCAACGTCACGTGTCATCGATTAGAATTCGACGTGCCCTTTTGTCGTTTTTCCGCGCACTCTACGGCGACAGAATGGGCGTGATAGAACCTGGCTCTTGTACGGAGCGTCCATGCTGGTATATAGGAGGACTATGGCAGTTGGTCGAATGTGCCGGCAAGTGGTTTAGCCGGCACCCCGGGGCTAACCTCCCTTGCCCTGCGCGCGAAGCGCAGCGCAGCCGCTTGCCTCGCCGCGCAAGCGCGAGGGTGGCGGAGAGTCGCGTGTAATTTTGGAAGTCGCCCAAGGGCACTGTGCGTGGTGGAGGGGCGGTATGTCACTTCAACCAGCGCGAGGCGCAGTATACCCTTCGTCAACGTGGTTGGCTGTGCTGAGACGTGGGGGGGTGGGGGGGCGGGGGTACACAGTCGATTTATGTGGTAGGGGCCGGGGTGGGGGTGGCGCGTCGCTAGGCCAACGTTGCGATTCGGGGTAGCGTCAGGTACCGCGGAGGGGGGAGGTTAAAGTGCGGGCGGCTTGTTCGAAGCGATACGCGTGGTGGATTTGCGGGTGATTTCGCGCAGTTTCAATGCTTGGGGGTGAAGTATGTGGGGGTGCGAGTTGATTGGGGGGATGTGTTGTGTGTAGGTTGGAGACGTGTTCATCTTGCCTTGGAGGCGAGATGTGTTCGGGGGGGGTAAGTCCGGGTAAGGCTATCTAGGCGCTTCTGCTGGATTGTTCAAGGGGAGGGAACGAGTGCTTTCTTAGAACTCGCTTTTGTCGGCTTGATAACGTGCTGCGCGGTTGGGGGCAGGGCGGGGGGCGAGGGGGGGCGTAAGTGTGAGTAAGGGCTGAGTGATGTTTCTCGATCGGCAGGTAGTGCGCGGGACTCACATGGATCTCATCAAGAGCAGTGGTGAAAAAGGTGCGAGGCCGAAATCGGAGGGTTATCTGATCGGGAGGGGGGAGCGGCTGGAGGGGGGGGCTGGGCGTGGCTAAGTTACGCAATGTGGCGTGAGGGGTGTGGGTACTTAGGACAGAACGCGACTTTTTCGCTCTTCGCAACGCGACATCGCGCGGCAGGCTGGCGCACCCGTAGCGAAAACAACTACGGTATATAAGAACGCGCGATTGGAGCGCGATATTTGTGTCGGCTTTGATTGCGACAAGGAGTTTGAAGCTTAATAGCCATGGATTGATTATGACATGGAGGAAAGATGGTTAACTAGACTGGACAGGCTAACTAGCAGTGAAGAGGGAGGTAGGTTATTTTTGCAGAGATGGATGGTAGAGCTTCTGGAGAACCTGGAAGAGGAATGGTTGATGGACGTTTGATGAGACGACTGTAAACTTCTGCATAGGGGTTATTTGGGGCCCTGATCATGAATATGACACTCAATTTTTCCATTCGTGCTGTTTAACGCATACTTTCTGCTTTTCTAAGCTTTCTCACCTACAGCGCCTACGACTAAGCTTAGGGGAGGGGAGTGAAACTCCGGAGTGGGTAAACCACGCACCGTGTGGCAAAAGTTGGAGTGTGTCAGACCACAGGGGAATGGCCTACCCACTTTGGAGCCCTACACTACTCAAAGGCTTAGTCCTATTGCGATCTAATTAGTGCGAGGGCGCAGACGAGCAGGAAGCAGGCGCCGAATAGCGCTAACAACAAATCAGGACCCCGAATAACCCCTATACAGAAGTTTACAGCGAATTTAGTGGGAATCAGTTGTGGCGCCACCCGGCCCCAAATGGCGCCAGCGTCAAAAATGAGTATCATATCCGTAATGAGGACAGAAGCGTTCCGTAAAAGATGTTATACCCTTATGCAGATGTCTATACAACAATATGAACCCACAAAATGCAAGCACAAGCGACACTATTAAACCCTCGTTCACCGATAATTCGTAAAACACCATTTGTGTGGCATCGCCCGGAATCGTGTAAGTCACAAAACGTTTTCAATAATGAGACAGAATTAGTGATTCACCGCATTTATCAATACAATGGGTGTGAGCGCGGGCAAGTAAGGAATCAGAAACTTACAAATTCACGCATGCAAAAAAGCTGCTCCAATCGCGCGTTCTTCCATACCGTAGTTGTTTTCGCTGCGGGTGCGCCAGCCTGCCGCGCGATGTCGCGTTGCGAAGAGCGAAAAAGTCGCGTTCTGTCCTAAGTACCCACACCCGTGCGCCAGAGCGCATGTTGACGTTTTTCACCCTGTCCGAGCGGTCCGCACGGACGGCGCGGACGGCACGGACGCACGGACCGCAGACTATGAAAGCAGCCTAAGGCTGGTGTCAGAGTCCGCGATCCGATTTGCGCGATTTTCGCGAAACCTGCGATGGGTCACAGGAGTTGGAGGTGCCCCGATGAATACTGCGAGGTGCTGTTTAATCCTGGAAATTGAAGGAAGACTGCCCGTGATTCTACTCGTTTAATGTTATGTCTATTATTCATTGAAATGCTCATTCGTTCAGGGACGGAACTGCATCTATTCTGAACTGACCATGAGGATGACCATGAGATCGCGCGGATCACAAAAATTGCAAGTGGCCCATTTGAACAATTGAAACACTGAATATGAAGCAAGTGGAAGAGAACACCTTGCAGTCACGTCATACCGCATTCAAACTCACGTGTGCGGGGTGATTTTGCGCTCCCTCGGTCTGTCAACGAGGTGCTACCACGAATCGGGTTATGGGAG